TTCAAAAAGAATAGAAGAAAATAAAATAAGGATAAACTACAACCGTGACCATTTAATTATGAGGAGATTTTAGTCTAAATATTGATCTTTTAATTTTTTAATTAGGCTATTTAATTATTTAAATGATGTCAATCAAATCATATATAATTAATATTTGATGGAAGAGTTGACCTGATAGTTAATAAAATTTGTATAATTTTATATTTGGTCATTATTTTCACATTCTATTAATTTGATATTCATTACTCACTGACCACTAGGACATGCCTAACCACTAGGCCGTCTCCAATTAAAACTATGACCAAATTGATAGAATGCGTAAGTAATGAAGATTAAATGTCTAATTATACCTATTTGATTAATTGTTAGGTTTGTTCATTCGTCAAATGTTAACGGAATGTGGTTTGATTGACATCAATTAAATAGTTAAATGATTAAATTGATAAACTTAAAAAAACGATGGTTAAATTAGAATCTTCCCATAATTCAGTGATCATGATTGTAATTTACAAATAAACAATACTCATACCTTTATTAGCTTATTTATTTACAATCAATACAAAACAGTTCCCAGGATTCCCATTGTGAGTGCAACTGCATGAGAGGCAAAAGAGTTGAGAATTCCCAAAATTTTTTATACCATTAGTTTCTGTGTCAAAGTGCCTTTTGCCTTGGATTGTTATTTTATGATTTTCATTGCATTTATTACGTTATCACATTTGTAATCATGTAAATGGTTGAAGTTTCCAACCATGCAAACTTTTATTTTCAGTATTTTAATGTTGAAATGGATCTCAAGTTCTGAAACTCTTCTATTTTTTATCTCTAGCTATGACAATGTGTCACTATGATCTATGTGGTCATAATTTATTTTATTCGTATTATATTCACATATTATAGTGTAATGTATATCTATTATTTTCATACGCAATGGTTTTCAAGGCATTATTCTCTGTTAAAATTACGTCTCTGCTGCAAAACCCAGAAGCCTTCTCTTTTACCATGAAAGTGTATTTTATTTGTTTATTGGGTTTTGGGAAATCATTAACCTTTTCATTGGCAGCAGCACTGCTTTGACAGATAACTCCTTTACTTATTTTTTATTAATGGGAAGTTTATAGGTTCTTTGAACATGTTGACTACTTAGTTTAATGGATAGATCCCACATGGGTGATGGGACCCTTTACTGCTTTGATTCTTGTGAACCTAAGTTTCAGATGTTTCAATGGCTTCCTGTAGAAAAAAAAGACATTATTGATCTGCTGTTTGATGTAACACTATAGTGTCATTTGTGCTTTAATTGCTTCTAAAAATGCCTCAATGTTTTCTAAAAGATAACATTGATCGGTTTTGAGGTTTGAATCCTAACATTTTTTTGTTTTGTTTTGGTCCTTGTTGTGTAAACAAATTCTTACATTTCATACAGAAGCTTTTGTCCATTAGAAAATGAGATCAATTGAAGATAAAGGATACTATGAGATTTCGAGCAGCAATGGTTTCGAGTTTCATAGAGGGAATGGGGCTAACCGTGGTTCTCATCAACGACCAGGCTTCTGCAAACCGACACCTTCGAAATAGGACGATGCGCAGAAATGGCTGGTGGGGCTGTCAAGAGGCAGAAACAAGAGCCAACCCGAAACCACACCTCGGAACTCGAAAGCGGATGACCGGAGACTGATAGCACCTGTTCCACAGAAAGAACAAGACTGTTCAAACAGTGAAGGTGATGGTTCAGCAGCACAAGAAACACATGGTCTGCCAATGGCTGCCAGTACTGCTGTTCCAGCGATGCCGTCTGAATACCAAGATGAAACAAAATAGGTGCATTGTGATGAATCGGTTTGGCGAGTCAATTACAAGCGTGCAAATCAGAACTCAACATCGGTTGTTAGATCAGTATTTGTGAGAGATATGGGGACCGAGATGACCCCTGTTGTAAGCCAAGAGCCATCAAGAACGGCCATGAGTCCTTCTGCAAGGAGTCCTATTGCTTCGGGATCTTCCACATCGGTTAACTATCACCATGGACAACCCTGTGTTGAGAGCCATCAAGCAAGTGCAACAAAATCAATTGAGGCCAAGGGTGAACATGAAACTGATGGAGCTGCCAGGGGAAATGGATTAAATGGACTGCATAAACAAGAATCCAGGATGGAAAACAATAATTCGGATCAAGCTAGCAAGCAAAATACACTAGAAAGTCAAGCAGCAGCTTGGGATGAGGCTGAACGTACTAAATATATGGCAAGGTGATGTACAGTTAGCCTAAGCTTAGGGATTTCTATATGATTAGTTATAGTTTATAATAAATTAATAATGCAATATGATTTTTTTTTTAATTTTCTTTTAACTCAAGGTGATCTGATTAGCATATGCCTTGTACTGTAGGTACAAGCGTGAAGAAATGAAGATAGAAGCCTGGGAAAATCATGAGAAGAGGAAAGCAGAAATGGAAATGAAGAAAATGGAGGTAACTGATTAGCTAGCTCCATATAACTTATGTTGTTCCAACTCTATATTTTTCTTCAAACACCCTTGCATCCGATGCATACCCGGATATGGTTTGGATCTATGATTATCTAAGAACCCTTCGAATATATAAGAAAAAAAACTTAAGCATACTTGTATCGTACACGCACACCGGGGTCCCAGTCACATGATGTATGACATTTACTGTAAATTACTTCAAAGGCATGGCAAGTCATCCTTAATGTCCAGCACATCTTACCAATACTGTTATGTTGATGTTCAGGTGAAAGTTGAGAGATTGAAAGCTCGAGCAAAAGAGAGGTGTGCAAACAAACTTGCTGCCACAAGGAGAATAGCTGAACAGAAGCGAGCAAACGCAGAATCAAAACTGAATGAAAAGGCAATGAAAACTTCTGAAAGGGCAGATTACATAAAGAGGACCGGTCACTTGCCTTCTTCATTCTATTTCAAGTTGCTTTCCCTTTGTTGGTAACTATTATTGAACTCTGCTGCAAAATGTTCAATGCCATTTCAATCCCTTGTTCTCTGACCTTTTTCCTCTATATATGATGCACGTTTCGGATTCTGTTACAGAGATTCGAATGTGCCGGATATATGAATGCATCCAACACAGATAATGTTAATTTTTCTTTAACTTCATGTATTTTAAGTGTCATTATAAGGTCATCCACTCGCATCCCTATACGTATGCAAATATTTGAAAGGAATGCTTATAAAAAAAAAGAGTCGGAATACTGCAAATCTGAACCAAGAAAACAATCAATGGACTATAAATAAGAAAACTCACTTGGAATTGAAGGGTATATAATCCGTGGAGAAACTGATTTGTTTGATTGGAGATTTGATTAGGCAGGACTGAAGACGACGGTTTGTCCAAGCAGGAAAGTAACCAACGTAGGTTCAATGAAAAAGATTGTGTTGATGAGTCCCCGATCAACTGTCCATCCAAATATAGTAATGCCCCCTGGGTTGGCTTGCAAGTACATCACTGCATCACACAAAACATTAAACACCATAAGCATTGATTCACTGACTAAATTCATATAGGTGCTCAAATGTTATAGTGCAGCTTGCTTAATAATCTTGTTGTAGTTCAAGTTCTTAGAAGCACAGCCTTGACACAAAGTCACTTTGGGACCTTGCTCTTGTTAAAGATGATGTTGCAGGGGCTGTGGAACGTCCGAGTACAACATACTTACCAGGAAGGAAACATGGTTGCAGATCAAATGGCGTCATTCACCGCAAGTTGTTTTGTTGAATGCAGTGATTACTATGATCCTCCCTCGACTATTCTCAAACTTATTGACAACTTGAGGATGATATAAAGGGGCGGGGAACTCCCAATTTCTCTCTTTATTTTACCAAAAAGATCTTACCTTTAACCCAAATACACATTCATCTGGTCGGACTTGAACATTAAAAGTCTGACCGGTTTGATCTCTGACATCATTTTTTTTAACATTGGCCATGTTTATGTGATGTAATTACCCCAGGAAATTCTCACTCTATGCCTTGATGTAAGATTGTAAGGACTGAATTCTTTTTTGATACAAAGGAGTGGGGGCTAAATGAAAATGCTTACAGATGCTTGAATACATGAACCTACTGAGCTTAGCCCTGGGGTCAACCTTAAAATTGCATCAATCAGTCTTGCTCTAAATCATATGAACAAAGTCCAATAAGAGAAACAAGCTAGAATTTTAATTCCCAATATTTCTGAATTTTATTTAATCATATGAATGTCTAAACCATAAAATAAAAGTATTTTGTTCAGGAAAAAAAAACATTCCATGGAGATCAACAACTTCAATTCCGAATAACAATATAACAATAGATATTCGGTTATGCTCTAAATTTTAATTAGTTTACTCTTGTAATATATATATATATATATATATATATATATATATTACTGTAGCATGATCTTGAAAATTATTTTTTCTGAAAATAAAAAATTAATTCAAATAGATATAGGAATAGGATTTGCAACATTATGTAAACTTAAAAGACCTTTTATTCTAAGTCAATTGTCTTCTTTAAAGGCTAAGTAAATAAATCTTGGTTACCATTGTTAATGGCCAAATCTTTCTCTCTCTCTCTCTCTCTCTCTCTCTCTCTCTCTCTCTCTCTCTCATAGATATTTAAACTTTACTTGCAAGACAAGAAGTTTTCTAATAAACCCTCCCTCAGACAACTCTACACGGCCAAAGAAAAAGAATTTGATCTTCACCCACACCTATATAATTCTCAAGAAAATATGTAATCATTTACTTTTCCTTTCTTTAATGTTACCGTTGTTAATGTTTTAATGACCAAATCTTTCTCTCAGAGATATTTGGACTTTACTTGTAATTCAAGAAGTTTAATAAACCTATATATTTCCCACACCCTCGAAAGACTCTACACCGCCGAGGAATTTTATCTTCACCCAAAGAACTCTTCTTTTTAATTACAATCAACCTCCATCTGGTTTTCTTTAGTCAAAAGAGTATAGATTTCCTAAGGAAAATATGGATTTTCTGAGTTTGGATGATTTCAAGAACATAGAAGTTGATCCCCAATGGACTGCTTTTGATTATTTACTCAAGACTGTGGAGGTGGACCAAGAGAAAGCTGCAAAGAAACGGTCCCCCCTTGGCAATGCAGGAGAATCCATGGGGAAGAAAAGGGAAAGACCAAGACAAAGAAGAGAAGAACATGGCCGGCAGAAGAGAAGAGCCAGAGCCATGGTATTGGTCCCTCCTTGTGCTCCCCCATTGTTGCCCCAGAGCTTCAGCCAACGCATTGAAGAAATGGGTGGAGGAAATTTGGTTTTCGTGATCGAGAAGAAACTGTTTTACTCGGACGTCAATCCCCAAGCCAGCCGACTTTCCATCCCCTTCTCACAAGTCCAATCTCATGCCTTCCTCACAGAGTCAGAGGCCCAACATTTGGAGGGGAAGAATAACACCATTACAGCTCTCCTACTGGAACCATCAATGGTGAAAACTGAGGTCAACTTTAAAAAGTGGATTATGGGCAAGAGTGCAGCGTATGTGATTACAACAACTTGGAATTCTGTGGTGAAGAACAATGAACTGAAGGATACAAGTGTTGTTCGGCTCTGGTCGTTCCGTGTCAACTCTGCTTTATGCTTCGCACTTCAAAAGCTCTGAGTTTTGTTGGTCAAAGTGAAATCGTCAAGAAGATTTGTAGCGCTGAAACTCGTTTTTGTGATGCCATTGCGGATTACCGGATTTTGATAATTAGAGTTTTTGTAATCAATCAAGATGTTGATTATAAACAGAGTTTTTTAATTACTTCTTTTATATGTTTGTGTTTTTGAACTTTTGATCCTTATATATATGTTTGAGCAGTTCAGTAATTCGAATATGTGTATGTGCATACATTCAACATTTGGCTACAATTTCAGAAGCTACTTTCTTATTTATGAAATGGACTTCAGTTTAAAACATTAAAAGTTCAAGTGGTCAATTCTTATTCGTTCCATCCAAAATTTGTATTTAATTCGAAATTCAATTGAGTTTATTAATTACTTTTATGTGCTTTTGAACTTTTGATCCTTAATATATGTTTGAGCGATTCAATAATTCAAATACTTATGTATGTAAGTGTATATACTAGGGATGAGTAAAACTCGACTCGAATAAAAAAAATTAAGTTCAAATCGAGTTGTAAAATATAACTCGGATAACTTGAATAGTAACTCGAATAACTCAAAATTTTTAATAATTAGTGGATTAATTTTTAAGTTTGAGTCAAACCCATCGACTATGTATGATATATGTATATCACATATGAAAAAATATATATGTATTGTATATGGTTATAAAAAACCATTTAAATTAGAATCAAATAATATTGTAGTGTTATAAATATTTATAATTAAATTTAAACATAAATTCAAAAATTTGATTTGACTCGAAAAAATTTCAAGTAAAATTCGAGTTATAAAATAGGACTCATCAACTTGAATAATTAAATTTTTTTGATTTGACTCGATCGAACATTTACCCCTACTCTCAACATTAAACTACAGTTTGAGAAGCTACAATTTTGATGATGGTTAGATGCTCGGCTTCAAATATATTGTAGCTTTCTATGTAATTCTTTCTTACGCATCTACGTAATTAGTGAGAGGCGACGATGACGACTGAATAAATGAGTGGTAACGATGTTAAAAAATGGATGTTAGGAAAGATCGAGCATTGGGAACGGGATTTTATAATTTTATGTTAATTTAAATTGGTAGAATTTTAAAATAATAAACTTTTATTAAATTAATTTAAATTAAGGTCAATTTAATAAAATATATAAATTTTAATGACTGAAATTACTATTATATTATGTTACATCTCTATTTTTATTAAATCATCAATAAAAAAAAATTAATGACAAACTATTATTATATTATATCATGTCTCCCACTTTTATTAAGTCATCGATCAAACTTAGTACTAAATGATAAAAACAAAAACAAAATATAAAATAAATTATTTTTTATAACAAAATACAGTTCAACTACCAAAATAAAAACACAGAAATAAATAAAAGACCAAATAAGCAGTTTTTTAAAAAAATGGGGAGAGATGATGTAGCCATGATATATTCACCCTAACCTTCTGTCAATCTTTAGCTAAAAGGCTTGTGTTCCAAGCTAACCAACTTTCTTTGACTATAATTAAACTTTACATATCAATGCAAAAAAAAAATTAAATTTCATTCGAACCAAAACAGGAGTGCAAATAAGTCTTTGAACCAAACATCCAATTCATAAATGGTGTTTTTCACTAACTCCACCAATCATACAACAAAGGAAGCTCCAAAATATGATGAAAACATGGAAATCATGAAAACATTTAACAAAAACAAAAAAATTCTCTTTTTTCTCCCAATTTGAAACGACTAAAACTGAACGGGGAGATTAAGCAAACATTCTTTAGATCCTTTGACATTATATTCCCACCCCCTCGGCTACTTGTACCGATCAAGTCTTCATGCATAGTTCAACCTGAATATGTCATTCAACACATAGAAGCTTCCCTGCTGTGTTGGCATCAAATGAAACATCTAAAAGGGCAGGATGCCATGACAAAGAGACTTGGTTAGTGACGTTACAAAACGATGTCAAACTATCAATACTAATGGCAATGGTGGACCAGAAACAGATAAATTTTCTATAAAAAAAAAGATAAATGTTTTACACAGCACAACAATGAACATTTAACATTAAATTGATGAAACTTATACAAGTCCGAATGTGAGACATTTAACCACAAGGAAATCATTGTGTCCCAGAGAGGATAAGAGATGTCTAAGTGTGGGTTTCTTTTGTATCCAGCAGAGTTCCAACTCCCAACATACAACATTGAGAGAGATTCCAGATGATTATTCAGAGTAAGAAACGAGCACACACTTTGTGAATTAATCATAAAGCAGAAAAATTAAACTCGCCTAAAGGAAACTCAGAAAATATAAGTAATCTCTTGATTGCGGTCCATAATTAATGATACAGTTATTTACAAAAACGGCAGGCTAAGGTAAGAGGAAAGGAATATCCAGGAACTGACGTAGTTCGATTAATTGGCAAAGATATTCACATCTTCCAAAATTTATTCATGAAAAATTTCCATATTCAATTATCTTACATTTATGTTCCCTTCTTAAGTTGATTACTGTAGATTCAAATTTAATGAAAAAAAAGCAATTCCTGAAAATGTCATGAGCAGTAAATATATAAATAAAAAATCAATATTAAAGTTAATTGCATTATTAAGATCTCAACTTCAACCCAGAGTCCAGCTTCCAGCAAACGAAAAACTCACTTTTCACATCACTAAAAAATCGCATAGCAAAATCAAATAAAACCGATACTATCGATGAAATTGACAGTGACACATAAATTATGCTCGATCACCTAACTACACATAAACCCTGGAAAATAAGCAAGGACACAAGGGAATTACCTGGCTGAACTTGAGAGCATGCTGCTCGCCGGTGAGCTGGAGGGTACCACTGACGAAAACAAGCATACCACCGGCACCGGAGGGCTGACAATCGACGGTGGTGATGCTGTGCTGACACTGCTGGAAAGGAAGGCTGGTGAGCTTAGCGACGATGCTCTGAGCTCCTTGGATCTTTTGACCCTCGAAGGTCAACATTGAACCATCCTGGTAGAGGTTGGCTAGACCGGCCCGGTTTGAATCGAACGTCGTGTAGTAGTGCTCGACGAACGCCTTCGCTACTGCGTCTGGATCCATCTGATTTCTTTTTTAAATTATTTATTTTCTATAAATTTTATCTTTCTGATTTCTACTATGAGATTGTGCGGTCGCTTCTAATTCACGCTAGAGAAATAGAGAGAAATCTAATAAGGATTTCGTTATATAGAGGGAGAGAGTCAGGAAAGATCTAACGGCTGATATTGAATGGTAAAATGAAAAATCTAACAGGGGGCTGGCTTTTTCGCCGTTGAATTTATTTGAATATCTTGGCTAAGCGGACCGCTCTTTGCGTAGCGTCAAAGCGACGCAGCCCCCATCCCTCTTTTTCTTTTAAAATTTGAATTTATTTAAAGCAATAATTTTTTTTCTTTATTATTTAAAGTAATTAAACTTCACGATAAAATAAAAAGATGATGACCAATATGTATTATTAAAATAAAAATTGGTTCAGTATTTCTTTTAGCAAAAATACCCAAGAAGATGAAGCTTTTTTAGACAGTAATGTATCCTTTTGTTGATTTTGTTAGGTAAAAAACAGAAATAAGGTTAATAAAAAAATATATTCAAAGTGAGGCATAAACACGTCGACAGCAGGGTTCGAACCTGCGCGGGCGAAGCCCAACAGATTTCAAGTCTGTCTCCTTAACCACTCGGACATATCAACATGAATGTGTAAACGTGATAGACAATTACATAAATAAATATAAATATTTGTTTAAACTGTTCCAACTGTTATTAGTTTACATTATTATCATTTATCAAATAAATTTTGTTAATTTATAATTAGATGTAATGTAAATACTATATTAAAAATTAATAAGGCTTAACGAAATTTTTAGACATAATAGTTATTCTTTAAAAAAGGAAGTGAAAATATTTGATTTTTCGAATTGTTATCATTTATCAGATAAATTAATTAGTTAACTAAAATTAATTGTAATGAATTTGCGTAAGTTTAGGATTTGATGCACGGACTTTTTCATTCCCCAATCTATATAGATTGAATCAAGTCGATAGGCAATCCAAAGATTTTAATTTTCTTTGTCCATATTTGTTTTAATCCGATTTAACTTTAAAAAAAGTTGAATTGGTTATTCATTTAATAACAAAAAAATAAAAATATACTTTTATAATTATTTTAGGTTATTTTTATAATTAAATTTAAATATATATTTAAACCAAATCGATCCGAGATGAAATTAACTTTACCTAAATTCATGCGACAAATCCAGTTAAACATCAAGAGTAATCTAAGAGTTTTTTTTCCTTCTTGTTTTTGTTTTTACTTTAACTATATTTTTTAAAATTAAAGAAATACATGTAAGAATTCAATTTTTAAAGTCAACGTATGGAGTTGACTTGTGGAACATAAATCGTGTGTGATAATAACTATATTTGTGGGGTTAGATGTGGACCTAATTGAATGTAATTTGGATTCGATTAATCATAAAATAGGAAATTTTGCATGAAAAATAATGTAGTTAGACTATTGATGATTATAAGGATGATTTATTTGGGGTTTTTGCTTGTCTTATGCGTGGGTTATTAGGGGAATAGCTGAATTAGCTTCTCGCTCTTCTTTCCGCTTTCTGTTCTATTTCTTCTTCCATCTTCCGTCTTCCATCTTCCATCTTCCATCTTCCATAAGTTTAAAGGCGATACTTTTATAGAGCAAAGCTTCCATCCGATATTGTGAAGGTGAAGGTGAGTGGTGGCTACATAAAGGAGTTTCATTTCGGTAACCCCTTAATGTATAAACCTGGAATTCATCCAGTTAGAAGCTTAATATTATGTATGTTTATTGAATCTTAATGGTATGTAGATTTATCCGATTGATAGAGAACATGATAAACAACACATATACATGGATTATCGATTCTATTTGCCAATCACTATGCAAATTCTTTTCTCCGATTATTCAAACTAATTAAAGCATCAAGACGCCATGGCTGACGGGAAGCGGCGACAGTTCAACTCCATCAAGAAATCACTGCCTTTTTTTCCCCTCTAGTATAGACGCCGAAAGAGGGTGAGGCCATCGCCGACGGAAAGCAGCGACGACTCAACGCGAGGATTGGCGGCAAGAAAACCATTGAATTCGATCACGAAGTTTCTGAACTTGTTGATGAGATCATCGACGATTTCTTTCTCCGATTCTGCAACCGATCCGTACCATAAAGTGTTGTCGTAAGCTATAATCCCTCCGATCTTAACTAGCTTCAATGTCAGCTCATGAAATTTAAGATAATCGCTCTTATAGGCGTCCACAAGTATGAAGTCGAAGCTTCCTTCCTCGCCCTGCAATATATAAGTTGTGTAGACTCGGTTTCTTTTTTCCGAAATATTCATATTCGACCCATTCGAATCATATGTATATATATAAAAGTATAGTACTTAATTACATTTTGAATGAGATCATCTAAAATCAAGAAGGCATCCGAAGGGATGAATTTAATCTTATGGTGCATTCCAGCTTTGTTAATGAAGGGTGAGCCAGTCTCATATGCCTCTTTGTCTGGATCAATTGCTATGCTCCTTGGGATAGGCACTTGTTTCGTAGATGTACTGTGATACAGTAACAGCATTAATCTTATATTCATATCCGAATATGACATGGATACGAATATTGAATGAATAAATTTGGATGTCAGGGATTAAAAGAAAATATCTGAAGAAGGGCATCGTTTCTAAGGATGGTCTTCTTGGTCCAATCTGCCATGATCTGGAAACTTTAGCCAATGTGGCTACGACCACTCTCCTTTGTTTATGTGCTGAAATATTGCAATTATTTTATCATTTGAAGTGATTTCATTTTATAGCAAGAGTTGTTGAGAAGTATACTTATCAACTTATGTCCAATTATTTCAATAATGACCGGGGGAAAATTTTATTATAAAAAAACAATATTAGATACCAAAAAAGCAATTAGTGATATATAAAAATATTTTTTATTGAAAAATAAAATATTTTATATATCAAAATTTAATATTTTATTTTATTTTATTAATATTATCGTTAATAATATATAAAAGAACGTAAAATTGAATATTTTTTTATATATTATCTTTTAATCTTTTTGGACCTCTTACAACTTGTGACATATTCATGAACATTGCAAAGTATTCAACGCTTGTTTGGTGAGTTTTGGAATTACTCGATCATGTCAAAATTATGAAAAACATTTTCCCAAAAAGAGAAATTAGTGTCCCCACCAACTCTCTAGATGCATTTTAGACCATCACATAAAAAATATGAACATAATACGAAGGTACCAACATATTACACTCTAAAGGATATAAATGGTCTATGATTATATAATATTATTTTATTAAATCATTTGATTATTAAAAATTATAAAATAATATCTGATTATAAGTGATGTTTTATTGAATCCCTACACTATTAAAAGTTACAAAATAGTCACCTGACTATTCATAATATTTCAAACTTATCATTTTTCGTTAAAAAAATTGACGGTAGTCTAAGTTTCTCGTTAACCTACTGACTAAGATATGATAAAATTTGATCTTATGACTATCACATTTCAGTCAACATTATAATCTTACAATCATCGATAGACTCAAAAAAGTAACACCCTATAATCGAGAGACTATTTTATAACTTTTAATAGTTAAGGAACTCAATAAAATAATATCTTACAATCATCGATCATTTATGTATTTTATTCTAAAATTAATTGATTTATTAAACATTATATAAATATAAACTAATGTAAAAAATGTTTATAGTACAGAAAAATATAAAAAACATAATTCGGATGAAGAAAGTAACTTGCAAAGGTCTCCTTATAATCTTATGGGATACGTCTATGATGATGATTAAATATGTTTGATTCGCGGAAAAGATCATTATTAATAAGAATAATTTTGCTCAAAATTATATTTTTATGTTTGTTTTACAGAAAAAATTATTTTCAGGTAATATAGTTCATGCTACTTTAGACAATAATACTCTTGAAATAATAAACTATTTTTATATAGATCCTTTCTAATTTTATTATTCGTATTTTACTTAAAATTATAAACATAATAATAATAAAAACATACAAAAAGGTTTGTTTAATAAAACATTAATAAATTTGATTAATTAAAATTATTTCATAGTTTTAATATTTAATATATTAATCATTTATAATTGTATGAGATGAAAAATGACATAATTATAAAATATGCAATTATTTAAAATAATATATAACTTTGAGTTATTAAAAAAATATCTTATACTTTGAAAATAATATTTTTGGCCACTCAATACCATAATATTATTTTTTTAAATCAAAATGATACTTACGAGTTACGAAAATTATTTAAAAATATAAGTTTATATACTAATTATATTAATTATATGCTAATTGTATTTTTTTCTCAAAAGTTAGATATTGTAACAACTAAAATATTTTTATGAATTTTCATATTAAAATTTAACTTATTGAAAGAAAACGTGTATCACAAGATAATTCAGTAAAAAATGTATCCAAATAATCTTATATTCCTCAAACCAAACATTATAATTTTACACTTTTATTAAACAAACCACTCAAAATATTACAACATTCTCAAAATATTATAATATTCCAATAATCTTATTTTCAAATATAATTTTACATTCCCCTACTTTATATTGGTACAACTAATCCAACTACTTTATATTGGTAAAAAAGTAAAACCCTCTTTTGGAGTCAACAATGCACAGGCTTATCTTCAATAATGACGGAACTCGATTGATTCGAAGAACTGCTGAGCTAACTTTATTTGTAATAATATGTGTGTATATATATATATATATATATATATATATATATATATATATTATTGGTAAAACTTTCGAGATAATGTTCTGGAAAAAATTAATTCACGAGATAAAGCACTCCCAAGATTAATTGCTTAAATAAGGTGAAATACACAGTATTGGCCGTAGGTCGCCATGCCTTCCGGGCGACTTACTAGGTCGCCATGTCTTCCCGGCGAGCTACAAGAGATTGCATGTGTCATGCACGTCCCAACACGCTGGGCATCCGAGGCCATCCGACCGAGGTCATCCGAGAGCATCCGAGGCCATCCGAGAGCATCCGAGGCCATCCGAACGAGCTATGCGAGGGCATCCGAGGGCAACCGAGCGAGCTATGCGAGGGAATCCGAGAAAAGCCGAGCGAGGGTAGGTCGCTCGGAGTGCATGGCGACAAGGTCGCACAGAGGGCATGACGACCTACAAGATCGTCCGGAGGGCATGGCGACCTATGTGTTGGGACGTGCATGTGCCATGCAACACGTTCATTCTCTCTGTTTGAGCAAGAGTAGGTCGCCCGGAGTACATGGCGACCTACGGCCAACACTGTGGATTTCACCCTATTTGAGCAATTAATCTTGGGAGTGCTTTATCTGGTGAATTAATTTTTTCCAGAACATTATCTCAAAAGTTTTGCCTATATCATTTGATATACTATTTATGAAATAAAATAATTTTATAAATAATCTTACAAACTACTCAATCAAACATTACGTGTACTGACATCTCGTTTCACTCTACCTAAATTGTTTGAATTTGAACACAAACAACCCATCCACAATCATCAATTATAAAGAAGTAAGCGTAACCATATAAAGAGAGGAAAGAGTTCGTCGATGGTCCCCTAAGCTGGTCTGTTTGAACTCTTGGTCCGCAACGCGTTGGTAGGAATAAATATGGACCGGCGTGGATTTTATATTATGAGAATAAATTTTTAAAATCTTATTTTATTTTAAAGGTAAAAACATATGATCAATAAAAATATAAAAAAATATATTTAAAATATATAATAATTTGAAAATTTTAAGAACGACTGAAGATCCATCCATGGGTACAAATATTTCCAAAATTAACAATTTAATAACATATTATTAGTGGATGGAAGTTAAACATATCTAAAATACGTAAAATTAAATATACATAAAAAAAATGTCTTTTTACTCTCACAATAAAATGTTAGGAGCCAAAATATATTAAAAAAAAAGTCAAAATAATTATTTAATCAAACATCAAATATATTTTTTACCATTACGCCTTTTCATTTTAGGCATACTATGACTACCATATTTCATCATGTATAGCGTCAGTTAATCGTGCTTCACACAATCACGTATCATTGATATATCACAATGTACTTAATTTCAAAATAATAAGGATTTATTATATATTTAATTTAAAAAATTAGAGGGGTAATTTCATCTAAGTTTAAATGGTAAGGACTTAAAATACTATCAGACTACAAATTTTAGGAAAAAACAAGAACTCCTCCCACTCTTTATATACATCCGTCCATGATGCTATCATTGCATATAACTTCTAGGAATCATCACACACTTGATCCATTATTTCTTACTAGTACAATCATGATTGTAGATCATTTTTAGATGTTATATCCTATTATTAATCATAGTTTAATAAATGATTTTATATCATGGATCTTTTATGTATGGTCATCAATGTATATAATTCTTTTACCACAATAAATATTATTAGCTATTTTCATTTAACAGGACATCACATTGGACGAGAGAATTATTTAATTCATTTAACAGGATATCACGATACACAAAAGAATTTATTTAATTCATGTGTATTCATTATTCAATCTCTTTTATCATATTTGAATAAATCAAATTCCTTACCGACCAGAAAAACTAGATTGTTTAGTTATTCGGAGGTTTGGTTTTCCCTCTTAAATATTGATAATTCTAATACCTTTTCCCTTATGTTATAGGTAGAGTTCAGGGATGTATACATGATTTTAAACTCTACATGATTTTATGTTAGGGAATGAATTTATAAAATTTTAAGAGACAATGAGGATGTATACATGATTTTAAACTCTACATGATTTTATGTTAGAGAATAAATTTATAAAATTTTAAGAGACAACGAACTTATAAATTTTAACCTACTCCCCCTTAGTCCACTCCTATTAGAGACTATGGAGGTCTCAAATGGAGAAGAAGGGATCCATTATACCTTGAAGTTGGGATTTTGTAAGGAGGATGAGGGGTAGTAAATTACATTTTTATCCTCAAATTATGTCGCTACAAAAGGTAGGATGGCTTAAAAATTGGAGTGATGTATTGATGCGGATCACATTCTCATATAATTATTATATTATAATATGTAACTAAACTCAATTACGCAATTTGAGTTTAATATTAATAGTAAATAGATAATATAATTGGGGAGAAGTTCAAGTAGAATTCAAACTCGTAGTTTCCGCAGACAGAACACCGGTCACAACTCAACTTTCATGGGCAAATTGATGGAAATAAAAATGGTAAACTTATATTTAGTCACTCAACTATTCTTATAGTTTCATTTTAATCTTTTAATTATTAATTTTAAAATAATATCTAACTTTACGTTTGGTTATCCACCACTAAAAAACTAACATAACTACTGATGTAACATTTTTTACTCTTTTAATGAAGATGTAATATTATCATAGGATAACACATTGTTCACTCAAACACGTCATTATAAAATAAAGCTAGATGATTAAAACAAAATTACAGGTACTTTTAAGTGATTAAATACGTAGTTTATCCAAATAAAAATAAAATCTTGGGAGAAACAAACGAAACTGAAGTCAACAACGTTTCACGGGAGGGAATTCAACAAACTTTTATTCCCATTTTTGTAAATGGATCTCCAAACTCTGCTGTGCTGACAAAATACAAACAAAAGCACACCCTGCAAACTTCCTTCTCCAACTCTTTCACTTCACCTTCGTACATTTT